TAACCATGTGTTCATTCCACAGCTTCTAAAGTTCAAACCCTCCCTCTAGAGCAGGTTACTTCTCCATGGCTTTCTCTAATTTAACTCCTGATTCCAGAGGTACTGTTCCTGGACTGTCCCCCAGGGACCCACAGTGAAACCAACAACTCTTCCAAGTTGTCCCAAAAGAATCTTCACTCTTGAAAAGCATTAATTAGGAATATAGATTTTTACCAACAATTTCATAGAGCAGATTGCAAAGATGATTAATTCCAAGAACAAAAACAACTTTAATGGTCATCTTAGGCATCACTGATTTTAAAATATCAGTTGGGTTCCCAACTTTGGAGTTTTACTGATTTCTTGTTAGCACAATCTATAATCATCTTTCTGGCTCCTTATGTCTGCTCTCTCCATATTTGTTCTCCCATTCTCTTTTCTTTTCACTCTTGCAAAAATAACAAAATTCTTCTCCCTGGATCTGCAGTGCAATTTCTCTCCATGTGTGAATACTTGGAATCAGCTGACACCAGGTCTCTGTGAGGAGCTGGAGGTGGGGGATCAGGAAGGGATGTTTGCCTACCTTCTATCCACAAATACTCAACCTCATCATATGTAGATTTTTACCTGGTTGATCAGTGGGTATATATAATTCTAGAGATTTATGGTAGATTATTGTTGGCTCTAAGCTCTAAACTTGGCCCTATCTTGCTAACTCCTCTAAGAAAAACTTGAGTAAAAGATTGGAACGCATATCAAAATTTTGAGTGACAGAAAACTAGGAGACGATAACTGATGAATTAATTGATGTAATCAATAGGTTGGAACAGTCCAAAGTAAACACAATGAAATTTAATAGACATGTGTAAAATCTTATACCTAGATTCAAAAATTTAGATGAAAACATACAGATTAGGAGATATGTGGCTATGATGGTCAATTTTATCTGTCTACTTGGCTTGGCTACACTCCTATTATTACATCAAACACTAATCTAGTTGTTGCTGTGAGGGTATTTTGTGGATGTGATTAATACCCACAAGCAAGCGAAGGAGATAAGCTGGGTTTGCCTGATTTAATCAGTTAAAAGGTTTTAAGAATGGTACTGGGGTTTCCCTGAAGAAGAAAAAATTGAGCTCCTTCCAGAGAGTTCCAGCCTGCTCTTCTTGACAAACTCCCTTATGGATTTGGACTTGCCTAGCCAGCTCCCACAATCAAATCAGCCCATTCCTTGTAATAAATCCTTTAATATATATCTCCTACTGGTTCTTTTTTTCCAGTTGAACGCTGACTGATACACTGGCTTAGTACTTTTAGGTGAGAAAAAGATTTCAACTTGCTCTAAGCTTGTTAAGAATCATCACTGTGAGTGGGTGCCCAAAACAACAAATAGGATCTTAGAAACAATATGCACAAGCTTCACTATTTGGGGAGGGAGGGCAACAACTCCAGTGGAGGAGTCCACAGAGGGGTTGTTCTGTCCAGCTCCCACTGCCATAATTTAATACAGACTAACACCTAAGATCACTGTTAGGAAGTGGTTCTGGTTTAATGTTAATAACTCTATAAGAAATAACTGTATTAAGTAATGTCATAAGTTGTGTTTTATGATATTGTGAGCTTAGTCACAGACATCTACCTAGGAGCTGCCTTAAATATCTGATGAAAGATATTAGACTAGATAACCTCCAAATTTCCCCAACTAATTCTAAGATTCTGTAATTTTACTTTTAATACCTATGCTTCTATTGTATGCCACTAAAAGTCCTCATACTTGTAGTTCATGCTAATTTCCCTTGTCTAGAAAACCCGGTGTGTTGCATGTCTACTTATTCGCCTTTCTAGATCTACTCCATCCTGCTCTATGCCCTGGGACACTAACCCATATGGACTGCATCAATGGGCTCCCTTCCCCTCCAGCTTCTGATTAGGTTTGGTTGAAAGGCACCAGTAGGAAGTATGAAGGGAAGAGAGTGAGGCAGGGATATTTATTCCCTGGCTCCCCAATCTGGTTTGCTGCAGGCTGGCTTTATCCCTTGTCCTGAGGTCATAGTTCTGTTAGAGAGCTCTCTCCAACATACCTCCTGGTTTCTTTCTCAGCATTCTAGTAGCCACTACTGCCTGTGACCGTTTAGGCCCAGGGTTGCTAGCTCCATTGGTGTTACTAGCCTGGGGATTACTTTGCAGTTTCCTTACATCCTGTCTACACTTTTAGAAATAGACCCTTTATTAAACTTGTCTCAAATGACTCAATTTAAATGTGCCATTTGCTTCCTGTCAGAACTCTACCTGATACTTCAAGTTAACACACATATCAACATTTTTATGTCATATCTAGAACTCTTCAACTGAGCAGTGAAGCAGTCTTTTGGAGTAAATGTGGAGGAAAATACTCTTAAGATATTAAGATTAGAAAAATTAAAAATCTTTATCAAAGCAAGACTCTCATAAAAAAATTATCAAGTGGAATCAATAAGAGTCCTTCCAGCTCCAAAACTAACCTCTCTCTCCTCTGGAATCCCTTAGTTCTCAATTTCTATCTGTTGCCCTTATTAGCCATGATCACCTTTCTAGATGTACTTCTGTCAGAAAGAAACATTTTCTGATTTATGTAAATCTTCAGAAATGGATATTATGATTGTTATAAGACAGGGCTTCTTAAATGTCCTTGGGACATTTAGATAGCCTGTGATGAATGCATGTACATTCTCTGGAGGTCTGGAAAACAGGAAGGCATTTCTTTGAAGTCTCAGCTATGATATCAAAATATGAATTTTGAAATCTATTGCATACATGATAGCTGTTAGTTCTAAAATAAAGATGTTTTCAACTATTTGCTATTATTTACTTCCCTTTTAAACCTTCAAGTAAATTTGGTCCTCAGGAAATTGCATCATCTTTATCATATAGTTCCATATTTGCTCAAAGCCATATTGAGAAGCATGAGATTAAAATTTCTCGATATTGTTAGCTTACTTTTGTGAGAGGCATATGGCATAATGGCTAAAAGCTAGAGGACTTTGGCACCAGGCCATCTGAGTTCAAATTCTAGTTTTCCTACTATTTTCTGCAATGCTAAGCAAATTATTGCTCTGTGCTGCAGGTTTCACATCTTATCAAGTAGAGATAATATAACCTATCTTAAAATTGGGTAAAACACTTAAAACAATATGGAAAATGCTTAATTAGAGATAGCTTGTTATTTATTATTCTTAGATGTAATATAACCACTTCCATATAAGGAAAAGAGTACTTTTTTGAAGGGTGGAATTACTTTCCCTTTTATTTTTTATCTTATTTTTTAAATTCTGGTATAATTAACATACAGTTTTATATTAGTTTCAGGTGTACAATATAGTGATTCATTTATTTACTCTTTTAGACAGCAGAAGCTCCTTCAACAATCTCTACCTACCTTACTTGCCAAATTAATCAATACTTTTCATTTCTTCTATCCAACCTATTACTGATGTCCACAGCATACCGAATGCTTGCAGACTGTGGCATTCTCTTTAGTAAATGTGTACATTTCCGGTCCCCCCCCTTGCATGCTTACCAAAGATCAGGAGTATTGGTTCCCAAACCTATCTGTGCCAGTTTTACTATTTATAACTATGGAATTTAACTAAAAAACATGTAATTCATCAGTCTTACACAATTCACAGCGCTGGGTGTTATACACAAGCAATGAATCATGGAACACTACATCAAAAACTAATGATGTTTAAATGGTGACTAACATAACATAATAAAATAAAATTTAAAAAAATTTAAAAAATTAAAAAAAAGACAATAATAGACCAAAAAAAATGTAAACTGATTACACATAAGTGCAAAAAGAAAATGTGTTTCTATATAATATTATTGAAAAACAGTGAGAAAACTTGATAAAGGAGAGCCATTAAAAATTATCCACTTTAATTGTAGGTGAAGCATCTATAAATGACTGAGGAAAAAGTCTGCAAATATCTGGAAGGATTCTGCTCACAGATTGTTCCATAAGTGTCTTTAGTTCCTTGTTTCATTAAAAATTTGAGATGGGAGATCATGGATGATGCATTTGAGTGTGGTTTATACTACAAATGCCAATCAGTAGACCAAAGCTAAATAAAAGGCAAGTCATATTTCTATGTCAAAAACTGGTCAAATGAATGTTTCAATGTATATGATTTAGATTTAAAATAAATTTAAGATATGTACATATTTTTATAATGCCATTAAAAACTGATATCCTTAATTTTTCTCTGCCAAATAAGTTTCCCTCTCTTAAATAAGATGTTAATAAAATAGCAATTCGTACATACCTGTTATAAAAGAGAAAGCTTTCATGAAACAGACTTAAATGCTAGAAATGATTCCTAAATTTTATAATTGAGGGCCAGTTAACTCCTGTACATAGTAGCTATGGAAACATTGTTTATATTTTCTAGACCCTTCTTGCATCCAGAGAAATCTATCAACTAACTGGCTATGTCTTTACTAGGGAGAGATTTAGATTGCTAGACTAGAAAAAAAAAAGAACACTATATTAATTTTGGTTTTGTTTAAAGTCTGAGTGTTCCTATTAGCAGAATAACGGATAAATGTTTTATCCACATAATTTTGGAGATTTTTTTTTATCCAGGAGTCCTAATTATCAACCTTGCTTATTATCATCAGAACAAATTCTGAATCTAAAAGAAGCTGAAAAATTTAAAGCTTTTGTGTGTATGAATATTTATGACTATATTCTAAGACTTCTCAGAAAGTAGCTCTAAAATTTTATTTTAGATTACATGAAGTCATTTTTAATTTACATGGTAGAGGGAATTCTACTTACAACAATTTTTTAGAGATTTACTTATTTATTTATTTGAGAGAGAGAGGGAAAGAGAGAGTGGAGAGAGGGGCAGAGAATTCTCAAGTAGACTCCATGCTGAGCCTGACCTGGGGCTTGATCCCAGGACCCCAAGATCATGATCTGAGCCAAAACCAAGAGTCGGACACTTAACCGACTGAGCCACCCAGATGCCCCTACTCACAATGATTTTTATTTCTTTTCGAGAGATCTTTATTTTGAATTCCTTTTATTCTTAATTTACGTTGAATCTTCTTTTTTCCTAAGGCATTTTCTCTTTGATAGATCACTTTAATCAGTTTTCTTCGTTCCAATATGTGTGATAAAAATTGTTTGAGTTCATTCACTGATACCTACAAAGAAAAAGATTTTTGCTCATTTTTTCATGGGTAACTATTCTTTTTCTTTTTTTAAAAGATTTTATTTATTTATTTTACAGAGAGAGAGAGACAGCAAGAGAGGGAACACAAGCAGGGGGAGTGGGAGAGGGAGAGGCAGGCTTCCTGCGGAGCAGGGGCTCGATCCCAGGACTCTAGGACCATAACCTGAACCCAAGGCAGACGCTTAATGACTGAGCCACCCAGGCGCCCCTCATGGGTAACTTTTCAAAATGAAACAAGAACATGAAAATTTTATATGTTCATGTCAAAAATACTATTTAATGCAATCACTCTGCTGCTTTTTTCAAATCCAAATGATAGATGACTTACTTCACTTTAAGAATTCATATATTTTATGATAAAAACCTTTTAAACCTATCGCATTTTCATCTGAACTGCAGAGCCACACATTAAAAACTAAATGTTATAAATAAAATAAAATAGTAGGAGAATTTAACCAATTTTACTCTTCTCCTCGTAAGTTGTCATGGTAATACCAATTGTGTGAGTTAAAAAAAAAGGAAGATGTTGGTATTCCTTACACATCACAACAAATTTATACTGGGTGGATAGTATAGAAAATCTTGTGACTGTATGGAGAAAAATGTAAAAAAATGTTTCCCAAAGTACTTTCTAGAAGTTATATAATTAGTCTATTTTAACTAAGGAAAGGGATTTGGAAGGATTGTTTTTGAGTAGTAGAAAATAATGAAGATTTTAAGAGAGAAAATTGGAAAGCTTTATGGAGATACATATTCATGATTTACATATATACTTTTTCAGGGAAAATTATATTTAGAGACTGAAAAAATTCTTTTATTTGTCAACCACTACTTCCAAGAAGAGTAAAGGTTTTTATCTGTTTGCTTTTTTATACAGTATCACACAATTTAAACTCCCTCTTTTCAAGATCACTTTCTGGAATGCTTAAAATGCTTTCCTCGGTAGTAGCAAAGGCATCAGAACGGTGTGGCCCAGAGGTTAGAGCATGCAGGGACATGAAGTCACGTAAGGACTTAAAAAAAAAAACAAAACCGGGGGCGCCTGGGTGGCTCAGTTGTTAAGCGTGTGCCTTCGGCTCGGGTCATGATCCCGGGGTCCTGGGATTGAGCCCTGCGTCGGGCTCCCTGCTCAGCGGGGAGCCTGCTTCTCCCTCTCCCACTACCCGTGCTTGTGTTCCCTCTCTTGCTGTGTCTCTCTCTGTCAAATAAATAAATAATATCTTAAAAAAACAAACAAACAAACACTAAACCAGCTTCATTGAGATATAATTCACATACTATATTTATACATGTATAATTGTACATTTAAAGTGTACAGCTCAGTGGTTTTTAGACTATTCACAGAAGTGTGGGACTAGCTCCAGTCAATTTTAGAACATTTTTATTACCTTGAGAAGAAACCATGAGTCCTTTAGTTAGTAGCCTCCCTATTCTCCCATTCTCCCTACCCCAGCTTCAACAACCACTAATCTATGCTTTGTCTCAATGGATTCCCCTCTTCTGGATTTTCACATGAATGAAATCATCTGGTATATGGTATAGTATATGGGTTTTTGTGACTGACTTCTTTCACTTAGCATAACATTTTCCAGGTTGATCCATGTTGTAGTATGGCCAAATAATATTCCTTACATGGATATACTACATTTTGTTCATACATTTGTCTGCTGATGGACATTGGAGCTATTTCCAACGTTTGGCTATTATGAATAATGGACATTCATGTACAAGTTTCTGTGTGGATATGTAAGGATTTTAAATGTGATTCTTCTTATTGAAGGGTGGCCAGATTAAGCAATTAAAAATACAAAATGCCCAGTTAAATTTGAACTTCACACAAGCAATGAATTTTTTTTAAAGTGTAAGAACGTGACCAATATTGCATGTTAACAGACAGACCCCGTGTATAATGGCTCAAAATCAACAGGTGGGTGTTCAAGTCAGTGGCAGCTCTGCTCTGTGCTGTCATTCAGAGACTCAGGCAGGCAGAGGCTATGCCAAGCTTCAGCATGTGGATTCCAAGGTATCCCTGAGCATTTGCATCTAGCAGACAGAAAGGGAAAGAGCATAGAAGATCATGTGCAGAATGGGGTTTTGTTTTGTTTCATTTGGTTTGCTTCTTTTTCTTTTCTTTAATAAACCAGACCTGGAAGTGGCACAGGGTGGCATACATTTTCCATTGGCTGAAACTGTCACATGGCCTCACCCAAATGCATGGGGAGAATGGAAACATAACGCAACAGAACAAAACAAAACAAAACCCTGCTCTTCTGAGAACTGGGGAGACAGCCATAAACAAAAAGAAATTCTCTTCACTCAAAAAGCTGATGTTCTGGTGGGGAAGATAATAATCAACCAATCAACTGATAAAAGCAGGGTTTTTGTTTTGTTTTGTTTTTGTTTTTAAGAGTAGGGAGGGAATTGATAAAAGTTGGTCTTATTTGGTACAGGATGGTTAGGGACAAGGTCTCTGATAACATTTGAATAGACTCCTATGTAGGTAAGGAGGAGTTAGTCCTACAAATACCATAGGAAAGAGACTTCTGTCAGAGGGAACAGTAAAAGCAAAGGCCCTGAGGTAGAAGCACACTGGTGTGAAAGTGAGATGGTGCAGCTGCAGCAGAATGGGGTAGGGAGAGTAGTAAATAAGGCAGAAGCAGCTCTGAGGCTGGCATCAAGATTCTGAACTGTGTTCTGTGTGAAGGAGAGACTCTTGGAGGGTTCTGAGTAGAAGAGTGATATTGACTGACTTAAATTTCAAAAGGATCACCCGGCTGCTATATGTTGGAGAAAGGGTGGGAAAAGAGAGGTTCCTGAAATAAACTGGGTGAGAGTTGATGGTGGCCGTGAAGTAAGAAGATGGTCGGGGGAAGTGGTGATAGTGTTTGGTTTCTGAATGTATTTCAGAGGTATTACTGGCAGGATTTTCTTTTCTTTTTTTTTTTTAAAGATTTTATTTATTTATTTGACAGAGAGAGACACAGCGAGAGAGGGAACACAAGCAGGGGGAGTGGGAGAGGGAGAAGCAGGCTTCCCGCGGAGCAGGGAGCCCGATGCAGGGCTCAATCCCAGGACCCTGGGATCATGACCTGAGCCGAAGGCAGACGCTTAACGACTGAGCCACCCAGGCGCCCCTGGCAGGATTTTCTGTTGAAGGATTTATAATGTATATTTTAGTTTCAAACAGCAAACCCAATGGAAGTATGTTTCTAAACTCTAAGTTTAAAGTATGTGCTTTGGAAGTGTTTTTAAACCCCTAAGGGCCATTAAAGATTAACCATAGCTCTCCAGCAGAGTGACATGATGTTCCAATAATGCCTTACCTAGCCCTCCTGCCTCTTTGCTTCCCTGTCTCCTAAAGATTCATGGCTGGATGAGTTTTTCTTAAGCATCTGTTTGAACATATCACTGGCCAACTCAGAAACCCTCAGTTCTCAGTGACAACAGGATAAAATCAAAGTCAAGTGGACAGAATCTAATATTCTTCACAGTCTAGCCTAAAAATGTCATAGTAACCTTACTTCTTACTACTCCCACACCTACACAGACATCCATTACAGTCAAACTCTTCTTCTACCTCCTATTCCCCAAATAGAAGGGCTTCTTTCCTACTTCCTCGTCCTTGCTTATTCCCAGTTTTAATTGATCCTTCTTTCCTATTATCCCAAATATCACTCCTGTTCCCAGGCCTACCTCAAATTCCTTCTCCCCAAAGCCCTCCCATTTCACTCTCCCACAGTGGTCTCCCTTTCCTCTGACCTTATGGTGTCTTCCCTTCTTGGTTAGCAGTAGCTCACTGCTCTATGGTCTCTACAGCTGAGATCATTCCATAGCATACAGTTCACGTTTTATCTGCTCAGTTAATTATAGATGCTTTAGAAACTTTTTTGTATAGTTCTCATCTCAAGTAGAATGTCTTGAGTAAAGAGGATCCTAATGAATGTGTGGATTTCTTTATTTGGGGGAAATCCCCTGTTTTCTTAAAGCACAGGAAAGGTAGAAGCATCCTCTTCTAAGAGAAACTAAACTATCTGTGGGCTTGGAGAAAAGAAGGTTTGAATTTATCTTACTGTACATTTAATCTTAATTTATCTGTGGCTAGATCATGCTTTTTGTGGCTACAGGCATTTCCAAAGTAGGACCTAGTCTAATGGTACTTTGCCTGAAAGCAAAAACAAACACGCAACAACAGTACTGGAGTGGAGAACATTTTTTAATAGCTTCCTGTTTAAAAATGTAAGCTGTCTGCTAAGGCTAGAGGTTTGACTTAAGGTTTTTTACATTGTTTTGTTTGGATGGTATTTAATAAGCTTTATTCTTAAAACAACACACAAGTTTACTTAAAAAAATTTTTTTTCAGGTTTTTATTTATTTGACAGAGAGCTAGAGAGAGAGCACAAGTAGGCCGAGCAGCAGGCAGAGGGAGTGGGAGAAGCAGACTCTCCGCTGAGCAGGGAGCCTGACGTGGGGCTCGATCCCAGGACCCTGGGATCATGACCTGAGCTGAAGGCAGCCGCTTAACTGACTGAGCCACCCAGGTGCCCCACAAGTTTACTTTTTAAATATTTTGATTACTTGTTAACATATGAACAGATAACTTATTCAAAATTGTTCTCATAATTACTCATACTCCAAAATAAATGTTATAGATTTTAAAAGTTTCATTTACATTTCCTTCTTATTTTCTGTTCACCACTAATTAACTGTGGGCAAGTTAATTAACCCCTCTGTGACTCAGTTTACAATAAACATAAATAGTAAATGTAAATGTAAAATGGGGTAATAATATTGCCTATATCACTGGATTGTTGTGAGGATCATATAAGTTAATACATGTGAAAACCCTTGTATATAGCAAACAATCCATAAATATTAGCTATTATTATTATTATTATATTGACTCTATATGTACCCTATGTAAATAAATGTTACTATATTTCTGTTTCAGATTCTAAACTACTAGGTCCTAGG